AGAGAGAGAGAGAGAGAGAGAGAGAGAGAGAGAGAGAGAGAGAGAGAAAACAAAGGTGGCTGGGTAGGTATGTGCCGGACAAGGGGAACTAGTGTGCATTTAGCCCCCTTTCCAGAGTGTTTGATGAAGAGCTAAACTGAAATGCTGGACTTGTTTTTTCAAACCATTATCATCATCTCCATGACAGTAATTTCACCAGGAGGACATTTTCTTTGTTGATAAATCATTACAGGTAACACGTATGGATGAATAGAGACATTTAAAAAAAAGGGGGTTTATTAAACTGTCAACAGGCCAAAAGAAATACATACCTCTAGTGGTGAATCACAGAGAAATCTCCGGAACTGTGGAGGGAGACAGAGAGAGAAACAGTTAGTTCTGTGGGTCACCAACTCTTTTTGAAAAGGTTTAAATGAAAACCATACACCACTCCTTTGCTTTCCTATATAGCTTATCCCTCCCTGTTTTTCCCCTCACTCGGGTGTCACATATAAAATGCAGCCCCCCCCTCATTCATAAAGGGGCATAAAAGCAAAAACTGTATTTACACAAATGAAAACATTTAGCCTATCAACTGAGGCTCACAATCCAGGGAGGACATATAGTGACGGCTTAAATAATCAGCTTTGTCGTCAAAACAGCCTACCTCGAAACACACTGCAAAATGCACATGAGATACCAATTACTGGGGGACTTTATGTCTGTGGAACCATTAAATCTTTCTTCCATTCTCTACACATTTTTAGCGCCGGGGGTTGAGAGCAGTGTGTTTACTGACGAGCTGACCTGCAGGACTGGAAGACAAAACGGAGCGCGCTGCCATGTTTCGGGCCGAAACCCGATCTATAATGAGAACCAGCACGGCCACAGCGGCGCAGTGATGGACAGCTTTTGGTTTGCCCCGTCTATCTCACCCTCACGCGCCACACCACAGTTTTCAAGTTCATATTTCACGAGGAAACGCTACAATTCCAGCTCTGTCTTTCATTTGCAGAAATGTTCCGCTGTCTGGTGGTCCAGACAGGAGGCTAGAATAGCAACAAAGTATCATAAACACAAGATAGAGAGATGATACAGATAGGATGAAATAAACAAGGAGGGCATATGAATTATGTTATTACATTATCACACTCTTGTGTAAGGCTGCTGTAAACACTGGGAAGTTTTGTCTTGTTTTTCCTCATTCAAACCAAAGCTCTACTAGCTTGTCTGCGTGATTACTTGTAATTTCTGTCAGCACGGCTGGTATTTGGAATAAAACTAAACTCTCACAGAGTTCTCAATAAATGGATGAATCCAAGTTCACACTGCAGCTCTGTAAAGCCCCATACTGGGACGGATATCAGTCTTTCCCTTTCATTAAAACTAACATGCTCTACAAGTTGAAGAAATTCCTACAAGCACACACCAAAATCCTCCGTGCACAGCAGTACGGCTAGTAATAGCATCGACTGCCGACGCCATGGTTCGATGGGTGGGACAGTCCTGGCCTAGGTGCAACTCAAAATCCTGACAGTTTCCCGAACTCATCCAAAAGAGTGTGTGTGTGAGTTTCTCCGTTTGTCTGCCACAGCTGATATGTGTGTGTGTGTGTGTGTGTGTGTGTGTGTGTGTGTGTGTGTGTGTTGAGGACACTTACGCAGTGCTCTCCAACACGGGGGATGTTTTGGCAGCGAGGGGCTACAGAATGATGCACCGTCGTCTGTCATTTCTATTTTACCTTGGCCTTGGAGCAAACACTTTTCACTACCCATCAAAGTCACCCACTTGAGTTGGCTTCCAGTCATAAAAATGACTAAAATCCACCAAAAATATTAGTGAAGTTCCAGTCAGGAAAATAAGTGACTCTATAAAGTATCAGGATCACGCAAGATTCTGCAAGAAGACAACCAGTGTGCAGAACTTAAAAACAACAGAACTAAAACAATAACAATGCATGCACGTTTTGCGGCTATAAAAGACTCACAATCTGTGCACCCTGCGGTGCCGAAGACGTCAACAAGATGCAACACACCCGTGGGGATGTTGCTCCGACACAAAACAACACGTCGTAAACTGTCATTTTAACCTCACATGCTCCTGCTCAATGCCATAAGGGCCAACTGTACTTGCAAAATATTTACATGCAGTTACTGCAACAGTCCTTGAGCTACAGCTACCCCAGGAAGAACTTGTCTTTGAACTTTTAGCAGTAGTGAAATATTGGCAACTCACTGAATGCAGTTACACTTACAGTATACATATTCTTGCATTTAAATGTATTTTATAAACCTGCTAAACGGGAGTATTTTGTGCACATTTTACACTTTCCGTGACCAATGTGGAAATTGCAATGACTACATCTGTTTAGTTGATAATGATCTCTGCTCATGCAAAAACATGCTTATCAAGCTCCCCACCTGTGTAACCATGCCAGTAAAGACTACTTGTGACTACTGCACGCTGCCAGTTAACAAATTACCAACAGCAATGCCTCCCAATGTGCAATACTGCCAGAGGGCACAAATGAAACTTTTGTTCAAACCTCACAAAAAACTAAATGGCTTACCAACAGAACAACAGCTGCAGTTATTAGATGACATCATTTATGAAGGCCATGAAAGGCCCTGGCTGCTGTGCGTGTGTGGAACTGTGAATCTCCAATCGACTTTGTAGTGAAATGCCGTATTATTTCATTAGACAAGTAAGTGTGTGCGAGTGTTTTACACATTAGAGCCTGTTCATGTATGCAAATGCATACTTGGATGTGTGCTTCATGTTAAGTTCTGACAGCTTGTAGCAGTCCTCGGTCCCTCCTCCTCCTCTTGCACCTTTAGCAGGCGCTGATCGTGGGGGCTGATGGGTAATCATACCAAGAGGAAAGAGAGGCGCAACTTTCCACTGCTGTGTCAACCCTGCTTTGGCTGGGTGAGGCCGCTCTCTCCTGGAGCCTGGCAGGGCTGACCCCTCTCTGGCCACTGACAATCAACAGACCACGCGGCCCAGACAGGCTGACACAGACACTCAAACAAACAAACTCCTTAACACACACACACACACACACACACACACACACACACACACACACACACACACACACACACACACACACACACACACACACACACACACTAATGTGTAGGTGCCGTCACTCAGGCTTGGAGATGGCAAGGGAACGAACATAAATTCTCAGCTTCCCCTTTCTCTCTCTCTCTGCATCTCTAATACAACACCACATATGCCTGTGAACGGAGCCGTGTCCACAGTGCCCTCTGGAATGTTCTCATCTACAACACATGGAGTCCATCGCTTCCTCTCGAACTCTCCCTTTCCTATAGTAAACACTCATCTGTGTACGATTAGAAGGGCAAGCAGCCGTCACAAACACACACACACACACACACGCACAAGCTGTCGTGTCTTCACTCACACACATACGGCACATACAAACACATGCATCTGTTTAAGCCTAATTGCTACTTAGACCTCTCGTCGTCGTGCTCTTTCGCTCAAATGGCTGTACTTATTTTAGTGACTATGTGCCTGATTTGCCTCCATCACATTAAGAAAACAACCCCTTTCTTCCTCTGTTCACCGAACATTTGCTGACTAGATATGTGTTTGTTTCAGTGTGCAGCAGAGGAGCTGCAGGATCCTCGCCGCAGTACACAGATCAATGAGGTAAATACAAACAAAATACTTAAACTCTGCCATAAAAGGAATGTTGCTTATTGAAAGTTTAATTGAAGATCTTGTTATTGTGCATAACCATGTTGCAAATAGCTTTGTAGGCACTAAGAGCCAAAATGTATTTTCCTCGTTCATTTCTTCCATCTTTAATGACACATTTTATTGCCATTTCGCAGCTTTTTCCATATACTTCTTTTTTTCCATGCATCTTGGTTAAGGTCCCGGCCATCAAGAAGAGTAAATACAGATTTAACAGGATTTGTTTTCCTCAAAATGAATGCCACATGTGCAGGAACTCAGAGTCACGGCTCAGCAAAACAGTTAAGACCACTAAGTGTGAGTAAGAGTGTGTGCGTGTGTCTGTGTCTATGTGTGTGTATGCATACGTGCGTCTAAATAGTTGCTTGTTTGTGCTTCAACTCTGTCAGGAAACCATGATTGGTTGTGGAAGGAATAATGTCTGGCTCCCTTCCAGTCCTGGTATGACGGGAAATGCATAGATCCTTAAACAAACAAAGTCAGTCCCCTTTAGGACATCCTACTGTCTAATGGTAGTACAATTTTGGCAGGGTAATTGAACTACAATCTCTTCTATCGCCTGGCTCTGAGCCAGGCTGACGGCATTCCACATTCTGTCCCAAGGTAGTACTTTAATGGATTAATAAATACCTCAACAAATACTAAATGACCCAACTTCCTCGGTAGCAGCAGCAGGCATAGAATGGCATGGCACCAAAATGTGCCATCACCACATCGACAATGTGTTTTCCATTTCTTTATGAATGCCACAGGCCACAGAAGCTCCGAGCTTCTGGGAAGACAACGGAGCTTGACGGGCAAGAAAATAAAATCAGTAGTGTTTCCTACTGTGGGCTCAGGAGTGGCTGCCACAATAGTGAGTCCAACAAAGGGGGATATAATAAAGACGAACCAAGGAGAGAGGACGGCATGGCAACTCCAGTTCTAGTATTAAGGATAGAACAGAAGAGGCACTTTATAGAGGCCGATCCCAGGAGGATGGAAGCCTTGAATATATCTCAATATACAGTTTCATCACAATATGATTCCATTGAACAACAATAAATTACCATATTGAATTATCGCTCAGCCCCAACTGCAATGTAGAGTCCTGCATATACCATTTCCTATGGTAGAGATGTCAAGGTGAATTACAATGAATGTACTACAGGAGTAATTAACCCACTCTGTGCTTTGACACTATAATACATTCAGTCAGTATACAACTTGGAAAGTCCATCAATAAAAAAAAATAAATAAAAGACTATTTTCAGACAGCGGTGTTTGTGCAGCCCCACACCTTTCCTTTTTTCTTTTTTTTTTTTTTAAAGCTATTCCTCTAGTTCTTGAACCCATCTGATCCCAGTACAGTTATAAACCTGAGGTGCACACACAACACGCACAAACACACGCTCCCTTTAATAGAGCTGGTGTTATGGCACTAGGAAAGAATCTGCCACAGTCTGCCCAATCTGACAGCTTTTATTATTTATTAATTACCTTGCTTTTACAAGCTGGAGAATTCAAGTAATTTACTGAGGCCTGCTGGCAGGAGGGTGGAGGAGGAGGTTGTTTTTCCAGCCCTGAGGGACAAAAGGCCCTCTCAGGTTGGTGAGCATGTCCAGCAGTTATACATCCTGATTAGACTTTATTTTCGCCTGTTTTATTCATATGTAAAGTGGAGAAATGCAGGTCTGTGTATATATTTTATAGTCCAATTTACTGAGACTTATAAAATAATTTTCAAACTTTATGAATCTCTAATTGGTGATGCCCATTCTTATTCATTACTAGACAATACTTCTCATTCACTGCATGAACTAGTGAACTTATTCTCTCTGTCTTTTATAGAGTTTAAAGTTCAAAGCATTGCGTGCAGAAAAACATTTTTATAATTATAATAATTTATCGAGGTCCAATGAATGTTGCAATTCTCCGAATAGCATGCACACTGTGATGGACAGTGGGATGAACTGGTTGATCCAGGTGCAAAGACTGAGACGACAACAAATAAACAAAGAGATTAGTATCAAACTGGATTTCCCACAACTAGGGATTACTTCCATTACAAATTAACCTGTCAATAATTACAACGATCACTCACTTAGAGGATTATTTAGTCTACAAAATCCCAGAAAAGTCCAAGTTGACATCTGAAGAGTGCTCGTTTCACCAAACAGTCCAACATACTAAGGACTAAAGGTCCAGTGTGTAAGATTTAACTGGAATATAATATTCATCACTATGTTTCTATCAGCGTATACACTCCTGCAACTGAAAATGAAATTGGTTGTGTTTTGGTAAGCTTAGAATGAGCCATTTATATATCTACGTACATACGGAGCGGGTCCTCTTCACAAAGTCTGCCGTGTTGCACCGCCATACAGACATTTCTACGTTACCTGAAGGCCACCGAAGGTTCTCCGACACGTTTGGAAAGTGAGCGGTGCGTGGATGGGTATTCAGCCTCACCGTAGATGCCACTAAATCCTACACATTACTACTTGAGATTTAAAAACGACTTTAAATTTGAAAAAGCAGCAAGGTGCTGGAACAAACATGTGCAGTAGTGCCCTACAGTAGGTGCAGAATAATAATCATGCAGTACCTCGCTCTCACTACAATCGCTGGGGTCATCACCGTGAATGGCCATCTGGTAGCGGGCGTACAGCGCCACCGACTGCTGATAGGACGCTGTGAATTGAGGGTCCTCAAAGTTGACCGGCACTAGCCTCACCTTCAAGCACAGGGTGTGGAGGGAAAGGAGCAATAAGGTGGAGGGAGGTTTTATAAGGGTTGACAATCAATAAAAGGACGGTGAGTTGTTAGAAAATGAAATCTTTTTTTAAAACAACAAGAAGAAAAATCATAGGTGCTTTGGAGGACTTGACAGTGCAGGATTCAGCAGAGGTTTTAAACAGTCTTATACACGTGTTTTGGAATCTTAGGGTTCACATCAGTCTCCTAGTCCTCAAGGCAAACTTGTCCGTTTTTGAGTTTGAGACTTGATTCAGACTGCTGTGCACAAAAGACACATGAATGAGTGAAAACAATAGGATTCTAGGAGACTGAAAGTGTGTTTTCAAAATGATAAAGTGACTTGAAGATGAGGCCAGTGCACCGCCCAGCTTTTACCGCAGATTTGAAGATAATTCAAGACTCAACACAGCGTCAGAAGGTCCGGAGCAGCAGAACAGCCAAAATCGTGTCTCCATGAATCATCCCAGACAGACACATTGACACTCTTCCATCACTACAGTCTCCTCTCAAGAAAACAGGCCGCACGCACAAAGACAAGTAAAATGTCATTACTGCAGTGGTAATGACATTAATCCTCAAACTCAAATGCGGTTCCAGTTCAGACACAACTATGACATATCTGAACTATGGATGGAGAGGGTTGAGCTGACGAACCCCCCCCCCCCAAAACAGCTCAAGACTGACTAACAGCTCAGACACCTGGAGAAACACTGCTCTCAACCACAACGTATGGAAACATTTTCCCCTCCTATACACATACGCTCTCTTTAATATGAACACATTAACTTATTCTTCATTCATACAGGCATTTTGTTTATTTCCCCTCGATTTTTAAACCGTTAAGATGCAGCAAAGTTTAAGCGCAAATCAAGTTTTCCGTGTCATACAGTTTGATAACACAGTCCATTACCTACTGTTCATTCAGATTCAACCCTTATGCATCACTCGGGACTATTTCAGCTTTTTTTGATCATTTTGGCTGCGTCGATGCATATGGCATACATTTTGGCAAGGGTGTAAATGTTGTTTAACCTCGTCTCCTATAATAGGTCTATCGTAAACACTAACCAAAATACAGAAAGATCTTGATGTTGATTAAAAGATTTAACTAAGTTAAAGCTTTAAAAAAAAAAATGATATCACTAGAGCAACTTGTTTAAAGGGTTAAATAAATCAAAAAATGATATTCAATTGTTAAATATTTTTTCAACAAAAACTACCAACTACCTGTGTTGCGTTTGTTGAAAAAGTAATCACATCCTGCACTTACAATAAATGAATTGTTGAGGCAATGATACATTTTAGTCCATGAGATGATATAAAATAACCAATATAACTTATTCATAAGAAATTAGAGCAAGATAAAATGCTTTTGATGCCTTTGTAGGTAACCCAAACTTGTCGACCCTCTCCCTCCCTCCCTGGGCACCCCTTGAGCAGGTCGACCTATGCCCCCCACCCTCTGACCTGGCTCTCGGAGGGTTTGTCAGGAGGGTCCTTGTGAATGGCCATCTGGTAGAGTTTGTACACCTGGTAGGAGCCGTCGAAAGAGGCTTTGAACTGCGGGCTAGGGGGACTGGAGCGCACTAGCCTCACCTTCAAAAAGAATACGGGCAGACAAAGGTTAACATCAAAAATGGAAAAAAGTACAGAGAATAACATCAGTGGAAGATATTGTCACAAACCAAAGAGAAATAGTGTGAGGAGAGTGGGGAGGGAGAGAGAGACCGACACAAACACACCCTCTCCGGGCCGCGTGACACGCCCTGAAGATTTTACAGACAAAATGGGGACATTTCCAGTTTGACAGTTGTGTTACTCTTCTTTAGTAAATATCCTTGTGTTCACTAATAACAGCCATTGGTAAGCATAGCTGTAGCTTGATGGGAAAACAAGAACGATACAAAGAGGGTGCGTTGTGTCCGTCTCCACACAAAAACAGCAGCTGTAACTCAAAAGAACAAGAACGTAACTAGCATGTGCTGTTGTGGAAAACTCAAGTGCTCGTGGAGGTCCTCAAAAAGAAGAAATAACCATTAGCCTTTTGACTTTCTGTCTTCCCCTCATATTGTGCATATGAACCCATTTCCAGTGCTTCACCATGTCTTCTGAGACTTCCTTCTTGATCCTGATCAAACCCGAATAGAAATGACAGTGTGCAGAGGTCCTTTGATGACTTGTCGGGAGACTATATAGAGATATAGATAATATACATGGGCTGATATGTTATTGCAGACGTACCGTATCGATGTATATTTGGGCCGATAAGGAACATAAAGTGCAGCATAGAAATACCGAACTAGGTTTCAGGTCATTTAGACAGTTTCACCAAGTCTGTCCACCAGAGAGCATTGATAAGTAAACCGTAAAATATCCAAGTCGCTATATATCTTGGTCACAATGTCTGTCGTGTTTATGGTAAAAAAAGAAAAAAAATCCTATTGGCTGATATCCTCAATACACATATATCAATATGTGCATTGGCTTCAGAAAGTGAGTATTGGTCAGGCTATAATAGTGTCTACGGATTAGTCTTGAAATACTTGTGATGAGCAGAACACACATTGACATGAATCCAAGTTCAGCTAACATAACCCTAGTAAGTAAAACAGCAAAAGTTAGCAAATACATTAATAAGTCCATAGACGTGAAAGCTGCATACAAAATAAGTAAATGTTTGCAGTGCTATAAATCAATGTTAACTGGGAGAATAAGGAGAAGCATGTGATATAAAGACATGTGGAAAGGAAAACTGTTGTGCCGCTACACCCTCCGGCCCCATTTAATTAACCGTCTCTCGGTTTGGAAGCTTTTGTTGGCCACGGAGGCTGTGCCATAAGAATCCCCTGGACGGACAGACTGGAGGAATTGAACCTGGGGGTTTGTTTGAGTTGGACCCGAGTGGGTTTCTCTCATATGTCCACTTGGCAGCCACATCTTTAGTCAAACAGACACGTTGGGCCTCTTACATAAAAAGGACAATGCTGAAGTTCTGTCCTTTTTTAATTTCATTCTAAATCTAGAGATATATTTTGAAAGGCTGAAATCATTTGTGGCAAAACACCACTGTGGCAGATAGTGGACAGCATGGAAATGAAATTTTTAGCAATTCTCATAACGGTCTTGAAATGTAACACTAGCAGTCTGACACCGCTTTATGAACGTTCAACTAAAGCAACAGACTACCAGTGGCTTTTCTTTAACTTTAATTCAACTGAAAGATCATGGTTTATCAAAGCTTTAATGAAAGATGTGTTGCTCTGAACACGGATATTCAACACCTTGAAGAACACCGTTACAAAGTATACAATAGAGGAGCCAATTGATTGTAGAACCAATGCCTGCTATCAATAGATTTAGAAGAAAACACTATGAAAGCATGAGCAGAGTGTGGAGACAGTAGAAGACTCGAGAGGGGAATGATGGCTCGACAGTTCCAGAGGTGTTCCAGAGGTGCCCGAGAGGCTCTAAATCACGATGGCACACTGACCCCTGGTGGTGGTCACTGGACCTCTCGTTCAAGACAGTCCAAAAACATTACTAAACATGATCAACGCTCTCCCAAATCCAAAAACCAGAAACTCATATTGGTGATGTCATTACGTTATTAAGTGTGGAGCTGCTCCATAGACAATGAATTGGTAAAGATATTATAAATGACACAGAGTGCAACAAGGGTAATGTTCTGAGTTTTTGGTACATTTCCTGTTTTTTTAACTCACAACACTACAATAGAGTGAAGCTCATTTGGATTTTTTAAATAAAATAAACATTCTGTGGGTCTACAAAATCAGTTTCTCATTGATTGTTTACCGAGCGGTTCGACACTTTATACTTTAAATGTGAGACTAACTTCTCTGGTTTCTGTTTGTGAGAGAGTAGCTCATGTTCACAAATACGGATTGAACTTTCCAAGGCCATGGAAATAACATAATTGGATTATAAGTTTAGGTGGTGTTCCCCTTTAAGGCCAGGACTGAGGTAACTACCGGACTGCGCACACAGTTAATCTAAACTCGTCTGTCCTGTTGCTGTGACTTATCTCTTTGCTATTACTTCAGTAGTAATATGCTCCTCCAAGGTGCTGGACTCTACACACCAATAACGGTAAGAGAGATACGGCAACTGAGCAGTAAGAAAAGGTGAGCCGCATTTCTTCTTATCCATTTCCTGTCTAAATGTACTTTCAAAAATGTCCTATGTATCATGTAGAGCATTCTCATCAGTCAAGATATCTTTATCAGATGTGTGTATGATGAAATTGAGCTGCTACTACATTTAAATGCTCTACCGTCAACAGATATCTCCTGGTACTGGTGTGACAACCTCTCAAAGCCTGCAGCTCCGTCAATAGTAAGTCAACAGAGGCCCACCGCTCTGCAGCAGATTCACTCAACTGCTTATCATCCAAATTGTCCTTTAGCCACAAATCTGATGCAGCCTATAGCCACATGTAATAAACAGCATCTCTCAATTATTCCACTTGTAAGACGTGTCATTAACCTCCCTTTGCACAGGACGACCTTGTGTTCATGCCCACTTAGTGAAAATGGAACCATAATTGCAGGCAAACAAATGAATCCAATTGGAAAGAGCTGACTGGGAGAAGGTCTTGCCGGTCTAGTCTCAGGGGCTACAAAGACAAGAGACAGACACCGCCTGGTTCCTCACTGCATCTGGCTCAAATCTTGGTCAAGACCAAGAATGACGTTACTCTACCAACCTTAGCTTGAGGCCTTCGCCAGAGCTCTTTCTACACCGTTCTGCCCCAGCCAAAAGTTCATTTCCAGGTCCTCTCATATCGGCTGAGCTGGGAGCTGTGGTCTTAATGTCGTCCGCAGGGTAACGCGACCCAGTTTGTGTGGTGTGCCTGTCATTTGGGTGAATTTTAAACTGGGAAGAAGTGGTTTTTCCACTCTGCTCTGGCCAGCTATCCTCTCTGCACACATAAACACATGGTGAAGTCACTGGAGCTGGGGAAGAGGGCTCTATGAAACCATATTTTCAGGCTAAGTGAATCCAAACATTATGGAGACAGAGAGCTCAAACAAAAACACGATTTCCTAATGATAGCTGGAATCATCCCAACTGGCTAATGTTTATTCCAAGTCCCATAAAAAAGAAGAAAAAGAAAGTACCTACTCCATATTTCTGCTTACCTCAAGGCAATGAGAAGAGTTGTCAGGCAATGACTCACTGATGAAATCTTCCAGGGGTTTGGGTTGCTTGGTCAGTGCCGGAGTGGGTGGAGTAGGAGAGACAATGGAAGAGCCCCCATCAGCGTGTTGTCTAATCTGCTCTTTCTGAAGACGTCGCTCCTTTCTTAAGTCTCTGGCCTTCCGACATGGCGGCCGACCGGGATCAGCACCCATCCCTGCAGCCCAGACAGAAGAGAGGAGGAGGAGGGGGGGGGGGAATTGTCAAAGCTTTCCAAATGTACTCGTTTTCAAAGCATTGCCGTACAATCAAAATGTACTGTGAAGAAGCAAGAAGACGAGTGTTACGCATCTAAAAGCCAGAAACCAACCTCCGCTATGCAGAGGAGGAATTGTAATAAGCTGTAAACTCATATCTCATTTGAATAGACTACTTAAATGCCTTTATACAAGCCCTGTAAAGGCAGAAGTCGGGTAGTAAATGCATTATAAAGAAACAATATCCTGGTTGACAATTTGATTTGGCTGGCAAAGAATTTACTCAAATGAAGATTGTTTTTAAGACCTCCGGTTTTGAAAGCATTTAAAAACAAATTAGCCGTCTCTGCGAAATCCTCAGGAATGTTAATAGTGCTCTTATCAGTGAACATTTGCGACAGTCACATCTGGAAAGCTCTGATTGCACGCACCACGTGTGCAAAGTTACAAAATTCAAGAGGTGCGAGAGCAAGTGCCTTGCGCGTAGGCCGTAATAACGTCGGTTTCTAGCGTGCACACCTCGCTACGGCGAGTATGAACTAAGCTTTAGGAATAAGACTAAACACAGAAGTACGAGAGGTGGGAGCTTCAAGCCGCTGGTATTGAGGAGTCTCAAAAGAGTGCAGATTTCTGCCTGCCTCTCTGGGCAGATTGGCTGCCATGTTTACTTTAGTGTGCCCCCCCCCCCTGCAGAAGACAGTCTCAACAGAAAGGTCTTTAGAAGTCATTTTCTTGATTCCCTGCCTCAATAGACTTTAGCTTACATCATTGCTTAGGAAGCTATAAAACAATATGATCTGTGCAAGCCCAAAGGGTTAGCTGCTAGCTAGTGTGCATCTATAAGAAAAGAACAGAAGAAGCAGAAACAGGGGCCATAATGAATCCATGGGTGTTTTTTCTCTAAAATGACAGAAATACCAGATCTAAGCTGCTGTGGCACATGAATGAGTTGCTCTGCTCACCATTTAAAAAAGGGTGTTACTAGCAGAAGACGCACTTTCTCCCTTTTTCTCTCTCAACAAGAGTAACATTAACATTCTCTGAAGCAACTGAATCTCCCCTAGTTTCCCTCTCTTTGCCCCCCTCCTCCTCCTCATCATCATCCCACCCCCACCACCTTCTTGGCTCTTTCTAAGCCCCCGCAGCTCTCCGGGCATCCCATGTCAACAGTTTACACGCCTACATCCTGTTTGGAGCAATAAGGAAACGAGAGCCATTTCCTGCTTGTCTTATTGCCAGCCGCCGCCATCAGCTCGCTTACCAACTTTCCCCTGTGTCGACGTAACGGGGAAGATTGGGACACCTGGTCCTGACGAGGAGAGAGGGAAACTCTGGCACTGGCCACGCGTCACTGGAAGCGTTCAGCTTCAGCTGACTCAAACTACTTCTTCTACTGTTAAGGTGCAGCGTCTGTCTTGTGAATAGTAAAAACAGACGGGAAGTATTTGCAGATTCTGGCTTATTTCATGATTTATCTTCAAACCCTGATTTTGAATGTATAGGGTGAACTTGAGGACTACAGCAACAGCAAAATATTCTAGTATAATGTAACTAAAGTTCTTGGGAAACAATTTGTTTCAACTTGTGACGCTAGTGAGGTCGGAGGGTTTTCCTCTCTCGGAATAGACGCGACAAAGTCAAGACAGACCGGTCGCACAGAGTCTGGACTGTGTTCGTCTCACACACACCGTCTCAACCACAAACACATCAGCCCTGATCCACGATTACTCTGTCCACGTGCCTCTCCTCCCTCCTATTACACTCTCACTACACACACACACACACTGATACACTTTCTCTTGGTCTTGCACAAACAGACACAGGTACTCCTGAGGACAGCATATGCAGCCGCGGTGAAGATAAAGTCTGACAGATCAGTTCCTGTGGAGGACACATACTCCCGCTCCAGCAGTTAGCACTTCATAAAAACCGTGACACTCTCCCTCTCCCCCGAAATCTGTCTAGAATTGTGATATACTTGCTTTCTTGCATGTAAACACATGGTGACATTACATGAATTTACTGTGGGAGGACGATGCAGTTATCCGAGAGCAGCCACTAAAATATTAACATGGTGCTATGCAGGGTCATATTATAGAAACTCTGGGAAACTGTACTCTCTGTACAAATAATCCCTCTCAATCACCACGTATGACCTCCTATAAGTGTGTGGCACCGTCTGTATCTACACAGACTCTGCCCTTTGCCTACATTTTCTTATTTCTCATATTTTATTCTCTTATTATTTCTTCTGCGTTGCGGACGTTTCTGGGCATCAGCAAAGAGCCTTTGGGCCCCACGTGGGCATGTAACCCCCAGCCAATATCAGCACACAGGGTGTGCAGCCTGTTCTCGATTCCCAGGTCCTCGTCGTCCGATACCGAGGCCCAAGGCACCCTTAGCACGGTGTTTGACGAACGGGTTGTTGCATCGCTGTGTGTCTTTATGCGTCTCTGCTGTGTGCTGCTATAGTTGCCTAAAGCCCTTACCCTAGAAATCACTTTGTAATAAAATGATTTTAAATGATAAGATTTTGATCATCAATTATCACTGACTAGCTCCCTGGGGTTTACTCCAACACACACACACATTGATAAAATACTGAATTTCAAGAACACAAATGCATGTATGCAAGTCTCACTACTTGCGAATCCATAAAAAGCAGATCCTGGGACAGCTTTGCAAAGCACAGCATTCCATATGTACCTCTGTATCTGTTTACCTCTGGCTTTGCGCACGCTATATGGAAATGGAGAGCCATGGTTTCTCAAGCTAGAACTGGAAGCTGCCCAAAGCTATAAAGCGCTCCGGTCATAAAACTCGAGGAAAGATATGTCCAGGTGTTTTCTGTCGGAGGTGAATAAGGGGGGAGCGGAGGACCGCTGATCCAACATAGTAAATCCTACCTGCTTCCTCTTTGCTAGCCTTCTGACTAGGCGTGTTATTTCTGACAGTCTGACGAAGAGGACTGTGGTGCTGACACAGGTGTGAGAACAGGAAGACACTGGCACCGCTGAAAGTTTTCTCTGCGTGTTTATGTCTGCCTCTGGGTCGACCGGTGCCAACGCTGAGCTTTCCTGCCTTCTGATTAACAAGCGCGTTCTCATTAGATGTTTGAGAGGGAACAAGCGGTCGCGGCCTGAAACATGAGCAGTTGTTAGAAGTTCTGCTTCCTGTGTCTAAAAGGAGTTTATTATCTCCTCACTGCGAGCGTTATTAATTCATTACCGCGCGTTGGCTATGAACATATCCTGGACTGGAAAGTGAGGAGGGGAACATGACAGATAAGCCAAAACCGGACACACTCCTCAAAACACAGTGGAGTATATCACAAGGTGAACAGTGACACACTCTGGCGAGCAATGGTGCTGCAGCTATAGTTGAATATCACAGTGGCAGTTTTGCTTATGATTGTGGTGAATTGTCATTTAAGCTACCGTCACCACTTTAAAGTGGGCCCGACTGCAGTTTCAGAGAATATCAGACATCTTAGATAAACTATTTTTTTTGGTAGGTGCAGTAGGACCGCAGTAAAAAGCAGGTAACCAATCCCCGTTCTGTGTTACTAAATGCAGCTGCTGGAATGTCGATCAAAAGGTGCGCTCACACCAAACACGGCGCGAATTTGGTGTGAACACGGCATAAGGCTGCATGGACCAGCGTACATTTAACATTAGTTGTATTAAGTTCATTCATTCATACAGGGCTAGTGCTGCTGCAACGATAATCATGATTTATTAATCTGTCGATTATCGTTTCAATCAACTGTTTTGTAAGAAAATGGTGAAAAAAGCATGTTAAAATGTGTTAAATGTGCTTGTTTCATTCAACAACAGTCCAAAACCCAAATAGTTTCCACTTACTCTCAAATTTCAGTAATAAAAGCTTAAAAATTCCGACATTTCAGAAGTGTTGATAAGTGATTATGAAAATAGTTGCTGATAGTTGATGAGTATTACCAGTGAACCAGATTTCTCACCTGGTTTAGGAGCTGCGGCTGTCGTTCTCTCATCCGCGACGGACTCCGGATCCTTTCTTGACGTCTCCGAGTCGGCAGGAGCGCCGTCCGCTACCTCCTTCTGAACTTCCGTGATGGCGGGACACTCCGGTAGCTCCTTCTGAATGTCGGTGATTGCGGCACGCTTCACTTCGGAGGGGCAGATGCTACTCGGCTCCCGTGGACGTGCTTCGTCACACACGGAGTCCATTGGCTCACCTGACAGGCACAAAAATTTGCTCACACCAGAAAATGCGTACTACTTAGCCACAGGGCCAAAACTGTTTGGAGCTTGTGCCGAGTTCCAACCATGCACTCTGATGCACGTGCAGTCCAATAGTGTTGGCTGCTGACTGCTGCCTTTTTCCACTTTTTTCATGTATGTTTTGTATACAAGTACAGAGAAATGTATCAGACAATACACATGCAAACCGTACAAAAATGAATACACTCTCACCGTCATCCTGTTCTTTCGGTAGTTCCCCGTTGGAAATGAATTTGCTAATCTTTTTCAGGACTTTCTTGTGGGACTTGGAAGGCTGGAATTTCGGTGCATGACATCTATACAGGGAGCATAAAAGGTTTATGAAGAACACATATTTGTATACATTTCTGTTGTTATACAAGTATCTAATAGATCATTTAATACATCTATCAAACTATTATGGGTCATCCTCATGTGTTCCATGTTGTCTTGTCCGCTATGAATCCTATGAGAACATGATGGGTGACATTACCTGATGGTATACTGTGGACAGCATGTCTTGTTCAGTTTGGGCTTATAGACGTATTTCCCACTTCTGAAAGAGGAAAGAACAGATTGCCCTCACTAAATACAGATTTAGCGAGCAGGATTCCATGAAGGCAGAGACAACTCCTCACCTTCTCCACCCTCTGTCTATGAGGTCTTGGTAGTCTTGTACAGTCATGGTGTGAGACCACATCCCTGTAGAAAACAAAAGGAACTTTGAAACATTGAATTGATTTTACACTATACATTTCAAACATCCATGAAAGCATGCCATCTCTGAAAGGAAGCTTGATTAACGGATAAAAGAGCCTGAAATAAGAGGCGTGTATGCAAGTAAGGAGTAGTTTGTCAATAAGCTGATTACAGAGTCTGGTGGGGGAGGGGTCCACATTTTTGTTTCAGCTTAAATCACAGTGACCCCAAAAAAGATTACCACAGTTCTCAATGGTAACATTCAAAAAAGTATTGTTTGTGTCCACAGCAGCTCGGATCCTACTTCCCAGGACTGAGGTCTCAGCTCCCCGTTTTAACTCGTGACCTTCTCCTCCGCAGCCATATACACAGTTTGCTCACACACCAAACACTTGATGACAAGACCACTATCAGTTTACATCTAAAACAACCAAGGGAAGTCACTGTCCAACAGTTCACACAACACACACTGAGCATAGCATTCTATGTCCCAGGAGAATGGTGTTCAGCCAGAGACGGCACAATGTGATCCAAAAGAGAGACACCACGACGATGAAGCAGTGAGTGACTGGAGCTGGTTCTAAGGCCGGCAATATTTCCTTTTACAAGATTACACCAGCTTTTACTTCGATCAGACATACTCACCATAATAGTTAACATATCTGATGATACGCAGAGTGTGTCAAAATATTTGGTCTTCCATACGGTGTGTTTTTCCAAATTCGTTGTCAGTTGTGAAGCTACTCACAGTGCATGACATTTACAGTATTTACATCCAGTGGGAGTTTTTCACTGGCATAAAAACTGAACACACCGTACAAAATCACACCAGATGAAACGCATGATAAAACTTTATATAATGTGATAGAATAGACAATTATAAGGGCAGTTCTGAATGTTTGAACTACATTCAAAAATGAATTTTCTGTTATCCACCGACTGAAGACAGAGCAGAACAGAAAGACGGTAACAGAAGGAGGAGAACTTGTATTTTCAAGTGAAAACACCGGTATGAACAAGAGTGAAAGCCAAGAAAATACACAAGATTAATCTTTAATTTATGATCCTTTTGTTGTGTTTACATATCACACATTTATGGCCTCACCACACATGTAGAATATTGTCTCTCAGGAGTTTCTGCTCTATGACCCTAATTTTATGTCCCAGAATTCTCATGACTTCTGCAATTACAGAGCAGTCCAGTTGTCATATGAATTTGAGTATGAAGTACCAATTTTAGAATTCTGTTTTAGGAAGCATTGAGAACGCTCCAAATGGAGTATAAAGGAAGTATGATATATTTAAAACCGTATACATCAAGTGATCATCATCTTAAAAACCTTTAAGAGTTAGTAAATAGGGAGAGGACAGGGCGGGGCCAAACAAATGACACAACAGCCCCAGAAACCTGTCCATGAAAAGGCCTGATAACTAGTCAGGCAGGAAGTCAGACATTAATAAAAGGTTCCAGAGTACACATGAATCATGCCATCTGAGTTTCATGCACGTGCAACAGCTGCTATCATCACGGCACAGGCGAGCCTTTCCATTGTTCACACCTGATCCGTGTTTCAGCCTCCCCTGAGGCGTGACAGACACAGTAACACAGAGGGGGCGCAGATGTTGTGCTCTTTAGTGGGGGGGGGGGGGGGTCACATTTGCTTCGGACCCCAACAACACTGTTGATAACATCACTGTACCGATCACACAGAGGAAAACACTATCGCACCCAACACCTGCTTAGAAAAAACCCTGATCATGTAGCTGATAATCTTTCTGATGGTCAGATTTTGCACGTCTTCCCAGTAAAATATAAGCACTACAGTAAGAATTTAGCTGGACCTTAGTGGTTTGAAATAATGGGCTCATTTCTGTCGTCGTAAGTCTCCTGAAAGGAACCTACAGTACAGTCTTACAGCGTTACTGACAGCTGCTAAGAAACACACAGGAAGCAGTCTCACTTCCTCTCGAGATCTCGCCATTCCCACATGATGCAACATATCCAGATTACCACTCTTATCTTAGCTTAGACAACAAGTCTTGTCTGCTGGCTCTGAGCCAAATCGCTCATTGACTGCATTAGGAGCTGCCTGAACCCTAATTATAGTCAACCTGTTTCACCCCTGTTCACCTACTCTGAGTGGCACCATTCAGTCCCACAAGGAAAATCCCTTCCTGTCTTCTTACACAGATGTTTTGCAGTTTCGTCCCACTGATAAACAGAGCTTTTTATGTTCAACGTGTTGTGGGTGTGAAAGTCGGACATTTATTTGAATGACAAGCAGATGCATAAAGAAATATTTTAGTTGTCTGTCACTTTATTTGTGACCAGGCTTTTGAAATGGTATGCGAAGTAAAAAGTGGTGGCACAGCATATGAAGACAAGACATTGTGAGAATTAGGAGGAAATAGAAATGCAAACTGGCGTAGTTAAATGCTCGATCCACTGGCTGTTATCCCTTCAAACAAACCATGGGTTCACTTGGAAGTGAGCCCAGGCTACTGTTCACAACTGGATCAGGGAGAAAGGATCTTCAGGAGCTGGATGAAGATGTTTTTCCATCTCCTTAAACTAAACATAGAATAAAAACACTCCAGCACTTAACCTACAAAATAGGGTTAAAATAACTGATCGAGTCATTGATTGTGTCACTATGCTTTTATCTCTGATGATGCTGCCACAGTAACAAAGCAGCACATTGACATCCAGCTGACATCCAGCACATTCAGTAAACACGCTGCAATCTGTTTACTATCGATCTCATGTTTACTATCTGTGTAAAGTTAAATAGAACCCCTGTCCTCTTACTGACCATCACATCTGAGCTCTCCACACCAAAATGTGTACGTTGAATGCAAGATAGCGTTTCAGCAGGTCACATAAATGTCTCTAGTCCCAGTGTCTCGGATCAAACGAAAGCCAGAGAGCTGCACTTTTGCACGTGAGAGCAACATCCTTAAGTTCTCTGTCCAGCTAGCTTGATGCTAGTATAGATGTTAGCAAGCTAAGCTACTAATATTACCGCGTTAGACTGGAGTAAACATTGTTGTCCAACTGTAGTAATTCAACAAACACCAGCCAAACCTTACTTAATTATCTGACCTCATTTTACTCAACGACAGTATAGCTTTTTTCCCCATGATGAGAGAGTTGGGCTGTAAAATGCTGAAAGCTAAAAGCTGAGTTAATACTAACATGACACTGTCCAAGTACCGTGAGGTGAACGCTAACATACACTCAATTAAATGTAATGTACTGGCCTTGCAGTGTACGTTAAGTACAGCAGATATAACATAATTTACTCATATGTACTGACATTAGGATTACAGTTCAACCCCCTCTCAAAACCAGAGCAAGTAGACGGGGCTAGGTCGTTAGCACCATCCAGTTCAGCAACAACAACTACCAGCTGTGTTTCTTCGCTAACGTTACCGGATAAGACTCTTACCGTGAGAAAAGTTGCCTTCATCATTTTTACAGTAACCACATCGGTAACCGCTATCCCCACCAAAATATTCAACTATAGTGTAAGACTTGTTTCCTGCCATCTTTAACATCGACTCGGATGACAGCTAAATTTGGCAGCAGCAGGAGGCAAGACTGTGGTGCTGTGACTAGCAAACCACGTCCCTATGAAATACGTCACCAGTGCTGCGTTGAGGAAAAGTGGGAGCTTTGAAAACATTTAACAATCAGCCATGTAAGCCTAACCAGACCAGGGCTATTTCTCCCTACAGACACAAGCGACTGCAATGGTTCCCCTAACCACGCGGAGGTCCCCGTGCAGTGGTGGTGTTGTTTTTTTCAAGTTCTTTAATGTTAGAAGAGCCTTTGAGCAGAGGTTGTCCAAAAATGTTGAGCTGTTATTGCCAGATGTGGGAGATATATATGATTGCATGCTGTTCGCCATGGCTTAGAATGTGACTGTCCAGAACAGTAATAAACACCGTTGGAAAGATTTAATATAAATGTATGGAGACGAAGTCTAAGTAATTGTTTTTGAATTAAAAGCAAACAGCATTTCTTAATTTCTAGAGATTCTGTGCAACACTTGTGGGCAGTTGTAAAAATGTTGGGCGTATAGACTCCATTGTTTTTTTTAAGTAAATTATCAAAGAAATTCAACTTGTGCTTTAAAAAAAAAATAAAATAAAATAGATGTCTAGTATTATAACTGTTATACTGCACAAAAGACATTTGAGTTCTCCATTCTTCTAGCTGCGATTGTGCCGTTTCCATAGAGCTACAAGACTTTTATATTGCACCGAAAATCAAGGCCACAATGAGTCAAATGTGACAGGTGCAAAAAAACACAATTGATTGTTAGCATTACAAAATATAAAAAAAAACTGATTACATTTGGTAATTAAATACATCTTTAAACTAAATGCATTTGTAAACCAGGGACAGGATGATGCAGATTTGTCAGTTTGTGACCAATAAAACATAAAATGATGAGAAAAGAACTGTACAGCATATTTATTAAATCATTTGTGCAAAGAGGCAGCAAAGTAAATCTGAGCCAAGATCCAGCACAAACATCGCTTACAGTAAATTACAAAAAGGCCAAGGGAAAGGGGTTTGCATGTAGAAAAATAAGTTTGAAAATCATAGCTGAGTCAGTGATCTTTTTTTCTTACTATAAAAAAAAAAAAAAGACCTTACAGAGGAAAGAGCTTCGTCTGTGTTTGACCTGCCGGATTACATTTCCCTCTCACCAGTCACGTAACAATCAGTCATTGTCTCTGGAGATTGGCATTTGTGTAAAAAGCTGGTTCACAGGTTTATGCACAGGTTGTCCAGTAAAAGTAGCCGTTTTTTCTGCACCGAAATAGTGGATTTACACAGGTGAAGAAGCAGCCGCTTAAAAGTTGAAGTGCTACTGGCAGACCTCTTCATAAACTCTGGGTAGACATCAGTTATCTTCCTTCCCGTTCATGGCTCTTTGGTTGGGCCCCTAATTAAAGCCCCCCCTGGGGGACAGGGAGGTTTTCATGAAGGTATTTCATACTCCCTTGCTCAGAGAAGTCAGCCACAGTGTGCCCTTCCCCTCGAAGGACCCATTTAGTGGTCAGAAGCCCCTCCAAACCCACTGGACCTCTGGCATGTATCCGTGACGTACTGATACCAACCTCAGCTCCTGCAAAATAAGCAATGCAAAATTAACTCATTTTCAAACCAGTGGTAGGTTAGATCCATTTACAAAAGGAATGTAAACCCATGCCTGCTACTGTACACACCTAGGCCAAAGCGGTAGCCATCGGCAAAGCGAGAGCTGGAGTTCCAGAATACACAGGCGCTGTCCACCTGCTGCAGAAACTGCTCGGCTGTCTCTTCGCTTTCTGTAACAATGACATCAGTGTGGGAGCTGCCGTATTTGTGGATGTGGTCCACGGCGTCCTGCATGCTGTCTACCACCTCAATGCAGCACTCCAGGTCCCCATACTCTGTTCTCAGAGACTTCACCTCCGATGGGCTGAAAGTTAAATAGGATGCAAACCGGGGGCCTGCATGGATCTTCACCTGAGAGAAGGCAATGGCACAATGATTTATAAACTAAATAAATCAGAATTTTAAAACACTTTACATGTACTGCTATGTGTAAAAGTTTGTGTGCATGTTTCTTACATGTTCGGTTCTCAGCAAATCAATGATCTGGTCAAATATAGGAGTTCGCAGCAAATCCCTGTGAATAAGGAGGGTCTCCATGGCATTGCAGGCTGCAGGGTAGTCGCATTTGGAGTCTCTGACTGGAATAAAACACAAGTTAGCACCTGTATATTCAGCAGTTCATAACTCCTGAGCAACATGTTGGCAACTTTCATAACACCATGAGCAAAATGATTGCAGAAAGGGAAACACTTTTCCACAACCGTACCAATATCTATAGCTTTGTCTATTGCAGCTTCACTGTCTATGTAGACGTGACAGACGCCCTCGCTGTGGCCCAGAACAGGAATACCCTTCGCTGCCCTTTGGATGTTCCGAACGAGCTCGGACGAGCCCCTCGGAATGATCAGGTCGATCAACTTGTCTAGTCGGCACAGATCCTCGACTTCTTCACGTGTGCTCACCTACACGCCAGGATACATTTTATAATGTTACAGAGTATCTTAGAGGTAATATTGTCATCGTGTAAAAACTGTGTTTCAATAGCGCAATGCTTTCAGTCTTACCAGTTGAATGGCATCTGCCACGCCATGAATGGAAAGTGCTTCCTGAGTGAGTTGATGTAGAATTCTATTGGTGTTGGAAGCTTCTTTGCCTCCCTTCAGTAGCAGAGCATTTCCACTGGCTATAGCCAGAGCCGACACCTGAAACACAATAAGAAATATGTGAAGATGGGACTTTCAATGACAACGTTGATGGTGATGCAACGCCTTTACACACCTGGGGTGTTTTTTTCCTGTAGTCTAATCTATATATTTTTATCTTCTTTTATAGACAGTCACTTTTTACAACCTTGACGAAGGCAGCGCCGACCAGATTCACTCCTTCCGTTCTTACCTTCTACAATAAAAGCCTGAGACATATACACTGGTGACTGTTTACCAGAGGGAACTCAAATTCACTCAGAGCATTTTTATGAAGGAAACTCAATAAAACAGCTAACAGTGTCTTAGGCTATACAACAGTTTACCTCAGACAGCCTGCCAGACGCTACTCTGGGTCAAAAAGATCCGGGTAGTTGATCCTCTGCCTGCATGAATCTATTGCAACCTTTTATTTAAAAAGTGTTGCAACTGACACAAACTTGCTTTGCTGCCGTTCCGAATAGTTTTGATGCAGAAATATTGGCAGGCGTGTATTTCACATTTTGGCGTTCTTTCATAACGCCCCCTGGTGTGTAAAGGCCTCAAGTCTACAGGCTGAGTGTTTGGGTTTACTGACCTGTGGGAGACAATCAGGACGCGACTCAAAGATGACCAGCAGGACACCGATGGGCACAGTGATCTGTTCTAGCTCTAGGTTGTTGGCCACCCTGGTCCTCCTCAGCACCCGACCCACGCTATCCCTGGAGGACACAGCAAGCTGACGGAGGCCAATGGCAAGGCTGTTCAGCTTAGCGGTTGACAGACTCAGGCGGTCGATCAGAGGCTGGGAGAGACGACCTATGAACGGGTAAAGAACACCGACAATGCAATACTCAGAAGATCTATGGAGAGAAGATATGTTGGCTTTCAGCAACCAGAGGCTTTGAAAAGCTGAAGTGAGAACTTTGCTTACCCAGTTAAAGAGTAATATCCCTACTCCTGCTATGCAATGACTGCAGGCAAACTTCTAAACTTACAAGTATTATGCATTCACAAGCCTCTTACTGACAACATGGCTGATGCACTATGATCTGTGTGTCTTCTGTGTACCTGACGTTGTCGCTAACTCCATGTCTCTCATGTTGGCGCTGAGGATCTCATCTTTCTTCTCTGTAAGCAGCTCAGCAAGAGAGCAGATGATCTCCCCTCTCTGGAGAAAACAAACGCACACCTCCATATGATTAACAAATACTAGAATCAAGAGTAATTACAGCCGCTACCAGTACAATGAAAACCTAATGAGTTTAGTGACTCCCTGCATCCTGTTGTGAAAACGAGTCACTTTTTCATTCATGTTTTAGTATTGTGGAGAATTTCAGTATTAAATGCATTATTAGTAGGATTTAATAACACCCCTAGTGGTGAGTAGAAGTGTTACAATAATATATATCTTAGTCACAATATGTTTCCATATGGAATGTATTATAGGTTTACAATATTCTTGCTTATAGAGGATATTATATGTTACAGTATATTAACTCATTGAATGTATTAAATCATAGAAGTATAGTCACTGTAGGTATTAAAACACTAAGAATAGTTTTGAGGGTCAGATAGGGATTCTGAGTGAGGTGTCAGACATGCAGCAGCAAATGGAGGCGACATCATCGATGGAGGATGGGGCCAGTGGGACGGTCAAATGCCAAGCTGACCAGCAGGACAGAGAGGAGGAGTCCAAGATGTTTTACGAGGAGCCAAGATGTTTTGCTAAGGGATCGATAATGGGAGGGGACAGAATTCAAATGAAGCCAATCACTAATCGCCACGGAGGGTCATTCACACGTTTTATGACAGTATCGGACACTTTCCGACTCTCAGGGGATACAAAAGACAATGTTTTAGGGAGTTTACCTCAGATCACTGCAGCTCTCATTTTCAGCTAACTGGCAGCGCCGGACTGTGTATGTGGTCTCTGCTCTCGAGAACATTACTATTGATAGTTAATTCAGTTTGTAAGTGAACTTTGTGTAGTACATTAAATATTGTTTTAATTTGAACCGGATCTAGCTCATTCTTCTGATGCGCGTGCGCAGTAAGAAGCTCGCAGCAGAAGAGTACCTGCGGCCTGCAGGCTCCTTCATCCTTTGTTCTTAAAAACCTAACAGTATCGATAGCTTTTCTAATATATTATGTTTGCTGAGTGTTAGGCAGGAGATGATCTCTCCCTCTTGTAATGTTGTCATTTAAATTAATTTAGGAACAATATAATGACGCCAATATACTGAATTCAGGGGACTTAACCTAGAAATAAACTACATGTCTTGTGGGATTAAATCTTAATATATCAGTGCTAAATATATGCCATTCCATCCTCTTCAAATACGAAAGCATCTCACTACCAGACCATAATGAGGGAGCAAGAACCTCACCTGTTCAGGGTCCAGGGAGGCCAGAGCCCTGCCTGCATGCCGGGCCATCTCCGTCTGCTGCTCCACAGTCGGGCCTGGTGGTGTTAATGATCAAATATCAAAGCATCAAATATAAATACACAATCACAACAAGTGAATGAAACACTCTTTGCGCATGGTTTTACCCAATACCTGCGGGTTTCACTTCAGAGAAGAAGGTGCCAACTTTCTTCCCCTCCACAATATCTGTGATGACGTGGCCTGTGACTTTAGGATGTGTGCCGTTGGCAATGACAACAGACGTCCCGCCCTGTAGAGCCCAAAGCGCTGCTTTCACCTGATTCGGACGACAACATGATTGAGTAGAATGCAACTTTTTCGTCGGTCCCGTTTCCACTTTGAGATAACATATCAACTGTCACGCTGACCTTGGCTTCCATACCGCCACTGCCGACTCTGGACTTCGTGCCGTACGTGATTGACTGCTGGTCTCCAGGATAGAATATATCAATGAGCTTGGCATCATCCGTTCCTGGGGGACTGTCGTATAAGCCTGTAGAATAGCATTTTATCTTTTATCCTGCACAGAAGCAAAGCAGTCACATTGATATTGATAGACCAAGAGGCCATACAGAAAGTTATGCACACATGCAAAGTAAATCATAACTAATCATCAACTTGGTGGTGATTTCTGTACCTTCTACATCAGACAGGGCAATGAGGAGATCTGCTTTCATTTCAACAGCCAGCCGTGCAGCCAAGCTGTCATTATCTTTGATGCTTATCACCTGAAATACAAACAGAACTGTCATTAGGCCAAAGGGAAAATCACTGGCTCTCACATTATACTGTAGAATAATAGCTTATCTGTTGCTTCCATGCAACAAAAGCCTCCCGGTCCCATTCACTTGCAAAACCAACAACACATGTTCACCTCTTTCCAAAAGGAGACAAGCAGGTCTGTGCACACTAGAATGGCACAAAACAAACAAAACCACCACAGTCTGAACAAGTAGTCAACATTTAAAGCAGCCTTAGAATGAAAACAATGGTGCCCATGAAGTTAAATGTTAGTGAGGGTGGACATGTAAGTAGAAAGCAACATCCATCTTTAATTTACGCATGAATTAAGCAATCCACCATCACAATTCTGGACCACACTCAGCATTCCCAGCATGCCCTTCACACAGTACCCACATTTCCCCCCTGCAGGTCACTGTTGGGAACAGGGGGCGGAACAACGGCGTCGTTGGTGTTGATGATAGGAACTATGTTCATCCGCAGCAGTTCATGGAGCGTGCTGCTCAGGTTGCGACGCTTCTGCTCGTCGTGAAAATCCAGGTTGGTGACCAGAATCTGCAGAAGTGGACAGAAATATAGAGAATTACGTGAGATTTGAACTCTGTCAGCATTTCATTCTGTGAGAAAAGTCAAGTGCATACTTGTGCAGTGCAGGTGCTGTATTGGGTGAACATAGTTTCATACAACGCCATCAGACCGCTCTGTCCAGCAGCTGCGCATGCCCGTGCCTCGAGAACTGGAACCGACTGAAAAACAGGATGTTCACTAAAAGTTAACACGACTGTGTTCAAAATGTGTCAACGAGTGGACTACAGTTCCCAGTGTTCAGGATTATTACTCACCATTTCTTTGAGTTGGTTCTGTCCAGAATGCAAGGCTTGTCTGACGCTCTGAGACAGCAGGATCTCATGTCTCAGTCTCTGCTTCCCAAACGCCACAGCACCACTGGTGACTATCAGCATCTCCCTTCCTTGATTCTGCAGCATGGCAACCTGACAGGACACACACGGGCTAGTCAACATTCAAGTTCTTCTTTCACAGGCAAGATCCCTCCAACGTTCAGTTTGTCTTTACGTCTTCCTTGACTTGACACCCCCCCCCCCCCCACACACACACACACACACACACACACACACACAACATTATATTCCCGCAGCCATCATCACAGTGTCTCTCCGGTCTGTATCAACAACACTAATGTGGCGTTACCTGTTCTACTATTGAGGCCAGTCGCCCCAGTGCCAGACCACACTCATCCCGTGTCACCACAGCACTTCCCAGCTTCACTACGATACGTTTGGCCTGCTTTAGCTCACTGCGGTGGGCCAAAGACTTCCCATGGGGACGTGGGACTGCAGAGAATAACAAAGACATCATTATTTACACATCAGCACAGAGTATATTGAGGCATAAAGTTCATATTGTCCCCGTCGGGTATGACAGAGAAGTTGGCTGGCTACTTACATTTAGCCTGGGCAAACGCTCTGATGGGGACTGGACAGACATTTGACTGCTGGATTCTGGATGGCGAGCGAGAGCACAAGGCCAGTCTGGCAAGCATGACACTGAACACCTGAGGACAGCTGTGATGAACACACAGACCAATGTCAGGTTACTCTAACCATAAGTGCAATAACCTCATCAGAGATAAGCAGCTTTTGGATACGATATCGTCACAATACTGTAAAGAGAATCAGATACAACTAAATCAATTAACATTCATTTGTACATTATTCTATCTCACAGGGAAGCTTTGCATCATGTGCCGTGATGTTATTATTAGCATTGAGTTTTCGGGCTAGTTGAACACACTTATCCAGTGAATATTATTTGGATTTTAGTGTCTTAAAGACATACTACCTCACAGCTGAAATGAATAAGATAGGTGCCGTTCATATAAATAAGCTCTAACGTATATAAAGCCATTGAAATGAGCAAGTTATTACAGCTAACAAACTGTAGCTATTGTCTAGTGTTTCTGCTGTCAAAAAGGACCTGGGGCTAGCTGACGTTAGCTAGCATTAGCTGTATTAAGCTACCTCACTGCCAAGCTCAGCGGCTATTTTAAACCAAACGGACCAAATAAATGTTGAACAAAAGGACTCCTTACCTCACAGTGTGAAAACCTTGAAACCCAAACCACAACTACACTTGTGAGTGCACTGCAGGAGACACGTAGTCAGTAGATGCTTTGGTGCCACATCCACAGCCCACGTTGGTTGGGAAGTGCCGGAATTGAGCGATTCACGAATGTAGGATTGCGTAGGCTGTCTGGATACGCCAATACATCAATGATACGTTTACGTAGAGAGAAGGATTCAGTCTTTACGTACGCAGAAATAGTGGTTTTGATTGGTGGACGTAGCTACTGGAAGTACAAGCACAGGGAAGGAGGGTAAAAGAAACGTACAACACTGGCAGTTCATAGTAGTTCATAGTTTCAAGAAAACAAACAAATTCCTGCATTAATTGAAAAGATCTACATACAATTAAGTGCATATAGCATGCTGTAAAAGACAAACACAAATGATTAATTATTGTTTAACATGAGATAACGCTACATGTTAATGAAGATATTGATTCACTTATTGCCTTAACAACTGCTCTTAAATAAAAATAGACACCTTTAATTTAACAATTTAATGTAACATATTTGTTTATAAAACGAGACCATGTTATTGACAAATTAAAAAGTGGAGTGTTGATCTGAATAACTATATACTGTAACTGCATTTAACTGTCACTGAATAATCTCAATTTAGGTTCACTTAACTTAACTCATGTCATGATATTCCACCAAACTCAATTTACTGATGACCTTAACATGTGGTTGAAAGCTCCTAATAAAGCTAAATAAGTGGACCTTGAGTTCAGATTATTTTGTCAAATTACTGAACACAAAGTCAAGAATTGATTTTCACACTAAAATGAATTAGTTTAAATTGTGCTGACTAGAACAACTAATTGGTAATTGAATCCACTTGATTCAGTTTGTTGGAAATGTGCCATTCAATTCTGTGTGGTGTCCTGAGAGTCAATGGCTTGAATCAGCTCATGGAAGATATCATCTCATCTTCAGTAACTTGACACTGGGGCACATGAGTGATGTGTGCATGCCAACAGAGGCCTGTGAAACATTCATGAGCAGAAAGGTCAGGAGCACAGTGCACACTGAGCTGACATAACAGGTGCAAGCAGAGCTATGGGGACTGTCGTGGAAACTTTAAAGTGTCCCGTTTGCCAGGATTTCTTCACAGATCCTGTGACGCTGCCATGCGGACATGGCTTCTGTCTCACCTGTATCCAGGCTGTCTGGGAAACGGAGGGGTCTGATGAGGGGCCTTTCTTCTGTCCAGAGTGTCAGGTATTCCTCCCCTCTGATCTCACGCTGGAGATAAACACCAGCCTTCAGACCAAAGTAAAGTTATTCGCCGCTAACAAGCCGTCAACAACAGAGCCATGGACAACAACATCAAGCAGGGCAACCACATCATCTTCAGCTATCCACTGTGACCACTGCATAGAGACACCTTCGGTGGCCATAAGGACCTGTCTGACCTGTGACGCCGCACTGTGCCAGGCTCATGCCCTGCTGCACCAGCAGAGGTCTGCTCTGAGGGAGCACACAGTTGTGGAGGTGACGGGGGATCCGCTGTCTCTGAAGTGCAGGGAGCACCGTGAGGAGCTCAAGCTCTTCTGTATGGAGGAGAGTGTCCCTGTGTGCTGCCTGTGTCTCCTGGTTGGCATGCACAAGAACCACAAAGCGCTCCAACTCCATGAGGCCTGCAAAGACTTCAAGGTGGATATTAGTAGTGCTTTATCATTGACTAGTGTGTTTTATTTTCTTGTAAATTGATTATTTCTTTATTTCTCTGTCAGGGTTTTCATGTTGTATAGGCCTGTTGTATTTCTGTATTTAGAGCATGTTAGAGACCACCATGAGCCAGCTGCTGAAGAGGAGAAGTGAAGCAGAACACGCCATCAGGGACCTGGGGTCATTGTATACACAAACAGTGGTATAGACAATATGAAATACCTCCTTTTAACCATTCTGTTGTTTTATTTGCAGAATCCCCTCTTGTATGTATTATTTTTTTGTATAATGTGTATTTTTTTCAATAGAAGTCTGCTGCAGATTTCAGAGAAAGAATCTCGGACAAGTACAGCAGGATCCGCGTTGTGCTGGATGGCGATGAGCGTCTGATGATGCAGATCATAGACGCAGAGGAGACATACATGACAGAGTGGCTGGAGGCCCAGAGGGGCGACATGGAGGCTCAGATCAAAGAGATAGACAGCCTCAGAGCCTCCAGCAAATCACTCCTCCAAGAGAAAACTGAGCTGCGATTCCTACAGGTAGGCTACCTATTATTATGATGGTGTGTTATTGTGATCATGTGAAAGTACAAATGCAGCTAAAATGTTTTCTGCGATTGCAATACGAACAGTAACACATGACCTGTTTATTTCCAACAGCAAATCACAGCACAGAATCTTTGGTGAGTGTAGCAACGCTCTACTTTTTCTCTACTAACTTTTATTTTTTGGTATGATTTTTGCTTTTTAATACTTTTCAGTTTTTATTGTAGCAACCCTTTGGATTTAGCACCAATCCTGGAGGTAGACAAAGATCTGTGTGACCTTGAGAAGTTGAGAACGATGGAGAAGCTGGTGGATGACCTCTCAGTGGCTCTGTCCCAACACTTCCCACGAATGTGGTCATGTTAGTATCCTATGATTTGCAATCTAATCGCTATCTCTGTAGTTGTGTTCTGAATGCAGATTTGTATTTGCAGGTCTAAGTTCTCCTGCTCTGGACTCCAAGTCAGCACATCCAAAACTGGAAATATCCCAGGACAGGAAACAGGTGTGCTGGAGAAGGCAGCCTGTCAGTGAAGCTCTGAGCCCTCAGCTATATGACTTCCAGTACAGCGTCCTCGCTCAGGAGAGTTTTACGACTGGTAGGCACTACTGGGAGGTCATTGTTCAGGAGAAACCTTACTGGCTAGTGGGTGTGACCACCGGGCCAGTCGATAAAGGAGATGCACCAAGTCAGAGCTCCTCCAGCCTGGGTGTGAACAATACATCCTGGTGCATCTACCATGGAGATGGACAGTACCTGGCATGCCATGACACCCAGGAGAAGCAGCTGTCAGTGGGGAAGAGAGTCAGAAAGCTGGGCATACTGGCAAATCTCCAGAAGGGGGAGCTGTCATTCTACAACGCTGATGCCATGACCCTGCTCCACTCCTTCTGTGTGCAGTGCACAGAGCCTCTCTATCCCATGTTAAACCCATGCATCGATGTGAATGGACTAAACACGCAGCCGCTCACCATGTTTTGGATTAAGGACCCCTGGGATTGCCATGTAAACACAGAAGGGGCCAAAGAGTGAACTTGAATATTTTCTTAATTTGAACAGAAAAACAAAGATAATAGTGTTTGTTTGTGACTATTCACCTCTCTACCAAGTTCATTGAACGTCATAAAGAAAGCCCCGTTAGTTTGCTGTA